CTGGACTGGCAGCAGCTGGGGGCACAGCAGGTAGGCTCACAGCAGCTCTCTGGGCAGTCGTCCACCTGCCAGGAGGAGTTGGTGCGGGCGTCAGAGCAGACAGACATGGTGGAGGCGGCCATGGTGGGGTTGGCTGGAGGAGGGTGAGTCTGTGAGAGAGTGAGTGAGTGAGTGAGTGGTGAGTGTGAGTGTGTGTGAGGTGCTGGACTGTGGGCCTTTTATCCTCCAACCTGTGTTTTCCCAGAGGGAGACACACCTTTCTTCCTGTTGTGTGCATTATGGGAAGTTCCTCTTCCTGACCAAGCACAGCTTTGGACCTGGGTGGTCTGGGGAGCAGGGCTTGCTGGGAGCTCAAGGGCGAGGTGGGGAGCTCAACTCTGAGAGTGGTGAGGTTGCCACAGGCTCTCTGGCACCTTCTGTCCAGGTGGAGAGACTGTGGGAATCTGAGACCTGGTTTCTGGGAGAGAGAAACAGGTAGCAAAGCTGGTAGCTCAAAGATCCACCTCTGCCAGTGTGCAAGATGTCAGCCATGGGTGGAGGCCTGGTGGCCATACCCTTTGGGGCCAGCTGGAGGCACCATCCTCTACCAATGGCTACTGGGGAGCTGAGAAAGGAAGAGCCAGTGGAGAATCACTGTAAGATCTCATCAGAAGTCAGAGAGGCTGAGGCATGCAGGTCTCAAGGTTGAGGCCAGTCTGAACTAGCTATTGAGACCCTGCCTCAAAGCCTTAAAAAAGCAAACAACAAAACAAAACAAAACAAAACAAAACAAAACAAAACAAAACAAACAAATAAAAACCCCACCACTAGCACTACCACCACCAAAACAAACTCATCAGAGACCAGTGTGTCTGTAAGCAACAGCTTCCTCTGGTGTTTATTTCCTGATGTCAAGTGACCCAGGTCAGAGGGCTCTGAGTGTCTATGCAGAGCACACAGCTAGGCCTGTTGTCACAGGGCCACATTGGCTGACACACGGCCCGCCTCTCTTGTTCCATACCTGACAGTTTTCGATGATGATTGGGTAATTTGCACCATTGGGGACATGGCCT